TGATAACCACAGACAATGCTAAAAATATGATTAAGGCAATTAATGAAATTGATGGTGTTAATCGGCTTGCATGCAGTACTCATACTCTACAACTTGTAGTAGGTAAAGATCTTTTGCCAGTTAAGGTATTAGTTGCACGAGTAAGGCGACTTATACAATTTTTTATGTCACCTAAACAAAGCGAACAACTTGAATCAGCACAATCATTATTAAATCATGTAATATGTAATAATATTAATAAAAATCATAAGTATTTACAAGCAATACCTGATGTAGTAACTAGGTGGGACTCTACGTATCTGGCATGGGTTTGAATTCTTAAATTAAAGCCTGCTATTGATATTATGCAAGTAACACTAAGCCATAATAATGATCCTACAACTAAAAAAGATGCACGACGTCTTAAACGAATAATGTTAACACCAAATGAATGGCAATTAATGGATGATTTGGTTAAAATTTTACAGCCTTTTGCAAATGCTACAAAAATGCTTGGTGGAAGTAAATACGCCACAATGTCATATATGTTTCCTGCAATATCTTCATTAAAAAAATTGCTTAATGTTGATACCAGTACTCAAATTACAATAGATCTCGATAGCTCAAACACTGCGTTTGATGATGATTTAGATTTACAAAAATAGATCGAATTGGTTGATGAAACAGAAATGTTAAATGCTGAAATGGAAAAAAAATAAATCAAATTAAAATTAACACTCCACAAAACTGTGAAGGAATGGTTGATCATGTTATGTCAGCATTATGTCGACATTCTTTGAAAAAGCAATTTACATATAAACTTATTATTAGTTCGTGAGTATTTTAGAGTCATAAATATTTTTAAAATTTTATCGGTAAAGGAAACAATACAACTCTAATAACTTACCTTCATAATTATAAATTACTAGTCTGTAAGTATTAAAGTCATAAAGTTCTTTAAAATTAAAATCTAATTCTGAACATAACTATTACTAGGGAGTAAGTGTTCAAATAAGTATTTTTAAAGTCAAATTTCTCGTTAATTCGAAAATGAATAATCCATATGAATATTATATTATCAGTCTGTGAGTATTTGTAATAAAAAATTATCACAGTGACAGTCATTCGGATGGAAAGATTGTGCATCGTAACAATAGAATCGCAGGAATTGATATCATGGCCAGGATTTGGATCAAAATTAGAACTTAACGCACAGTAGAATTTATTGCAAGAATATAGATTGCTTTGGATGTTACGCATGATCTTGCGATCTAGATTGTGTTAGTCGTTCTGTTCCGATGACTACCACCATGGTGACAGATTTTTTTCAACCTTTAAATAATATCTTTAAATAATTTATGCTAAATTACTAGTTTGTGAGTATTTTAAAGACAGGCATCTGCAGAAACACGATTTTATATTTTAAAATTCAGTTCTAAACAGCATAATTAATTGCATATTATCAGTTCGTGAGTAGTTTAAATTGTGCACATTTTTAATTCAAATGCATTATTTATTAAATTTTAAGGAAGATAATATATTTCTAAACAAACTGCTCATATGTTATTAGCACGTGGGTATTTTAAAATCATAAGCGTTTTAACCGAAAAAGCACAAATATTCTAACCGGTCCACCACTACATATGCCAGACTGTAAGTACTCTAAAACCAAAACTTTTTTCGATTTTTCTAATTAAACCAATTAACTAACATCTATATTTATCAGTGTGTGAGTATTCTATATGAGATTATTTAGAATCACACTTCAAAAAGTAAATTTTCTTTCAAATTATCCTAATTTTAGTCGGTAAGTATTCAAGATAAAATCAAACCTTTTAACTCAAAAGATTAGCCTTATTTTAAATAAATTAATATACCATATGATTAGGAGTAAGTATTAGGATTATGAATAAAATTAAAAATAATTTAAGAATTGACATAATTCTTTTCATTATTTAGAGGGTATTTAAAAATCTTTTTAAAATATAATTACACGTTGACTAAAGAACAAAATAACAACTCTGAACAATTCACATATAATTATTAGAGAGTAAGTTTTTATAGTATAATCATGAATGTTTTTTAATACCAAATTTCTCTTTAATTCAAAAATTATAAAAATATATGTACATTATTAGGAAGTTAGTATTAAAACATAATTTTTTCGAATTCAGTAATCTATTTACATAGTTGAATGCAAAATAACAATCTACATGAACATCATTAGAGAGTAAGTGTTTGATATTAAAACTTTTTAAGATTAAATTTATTTATTTCAAAAATAACCGTTAACATATATAAAATTGGAGTAAGTAAGTGTTTTAGTTATGACTATTTTTGAAATATAATCATATACATATATATACAAATTACATTATTAGAGGGTGGGTAATTTTTAGGATAGACTTATTTTAAAATTCGAATTTACATTAATTCAAATAAATAATTTGCACATTTATATAATTATCAGCCTGTAAGTATTTATATTTAAACGAGAACAACCCTTTTTAATTCAAAATTTAATTTTATACATACTTTATTATTAGTTCGTAAGTATTTATAATATATATTTAGAATCAAACCTTAAAAGTAAATAACATGTTCTCATCAACTATCTGTAATTTCAGATGGTGAGTACTTAATTAAATATTAATAAGAGTAAAAAATTGTCAAATTTAAGAATATACATGTTATTAGGGAGTGAGTATTTAAAGTTGAATATTTTAAAATTAAATTTCTTAATTTAAAGCTTAACATATATAAATAATATTACTAGTTACTAAGTAATTGTTTAAAATTTTGAATCTTTTTTAAAAAGCTCTAACTAAATCTAACAATATATCTCTAAATAATCATTTATAAATATGCAATATTAATAGTGAGTAAGTATCGTGTACTTGAATCTTAAAATTATGATTTATATCACTTCACATTTGCAACAATATATACATATATATGTATTAATAGAAAGTAAGTTAAACATTTCTTTAAGTTTAAGAGTTACGAGTATTTTTAACAATATATATTTATAAACATCATAGAATGGATAAGTAAGTATTGGAGTAATGATTTAAAACTAGGCTTTTACAAATATATAACTTCGAATAATTTAGACAATCCACACATTAGATCGTGAGTTATATCTTTAAATTTTTGCTAATTTAAACAACTAATAAAGTCTAAAAATCTATTTATTTATGCTTTATTTATTTATTTATGCTATTAGGGGGTGAGTATTAAAGATTTATAAAATTTAAACTCAAAATTTAAACAAAACTAAACCTACACATTTATATTAAACAATTTTTAGAAAGTAAGTAGGACTACAAATATTTAAAATATTTAAAATAATCAGCTCATATATATACATTATTTATTAGATCGTAACTATTTAGAACACATGCATGCATTTTTAAATCTTCTTTTTAAAACAGAATAATTTTAACAACACCACATATATACTTAAATTATTAGCTTGTTAGTAATTAAAATCACGAAGTTGATTTTTTTTTAAAAAAATACAATTTTAATATATATATATCAAATTATTAGAGAGTGGGTATATAAAATTAAACATTTTATGATCTTAATTTAAAATAATTAACACACTTTAAATAACTTTATCTATGCATTAAATATTAGAATGTAAGTAAGACTATTTTTAAAATTAAATTTTTAATAAAGTAAACACAGCACTAACAATTTATATATATCAATTACTAGTTTGTAAGACTTTTTATTCAAAGTTTTTCAAGTTTGAAACAAATATACCATTTTTTAATTATCTATCTAAATAACTTATTTTAGTCGGTAAGCTGTTAAAGTCTTAAGCATTTTTAAAATTAAAGCTTCTTTTTAAAAATGACAAAAACATTATACAAAAATAGAGAGTAAGTGTTTAAAGATTAAAACTTTTGCTTAACCAAAATCGGATAATAATTTATATATCATATTAGTGAGTAAGTACTTGAAGCAGAAATATTTTTAGTTGAAAAAGAAATAACTCAAAGAATCACATTCTTGTACAAAAATCTTAGTCTGTAAGTAAAAATAAAGTTTTAATTAATTAAAAATTACATATCCATAAATAATTAACAGATAATATATATTGTTAGAAGGTAAGTCTTTAAAATAATAAATATTTCAATTAAAACTTAGATTAACAATAATATACATATTTTTAGGAAGTGAGTATTCAAAATTATTATTTTTAAAGATTGATTATCTCAATTTAAGAACAAATATTTCATTTTAATACATTAAATAATCTATAAATAATCAGTATGTAAGTATTTAGAATCAAATATTTAAATCAATATTCTTTGTTTATTCGACACATTACTCAATAATGATTATTAATATTAAAAGGAGGTGAGTATTAAGATAATTGTAGAATTCTCTTAATTCAAGAGTAACAATTTAATTCCATATAATATATACAAATCATTAGCCTGTAAGTATCAAACTTTTAAAGCAAATTTTTATCGATTTAAATAACAACCTATATATATTATCAGTATGTGAGTATTTAGGTTTAAATATTTTTAAAATGGAGGTTCTCTCTATCCCAAACGACTTCAGACAGTATATTATCTATATTATTAGGCAGTGAGTATTTATATTTATAACCATTTTTGATTCTATATCGATTTATTAAATATTATAATTCTAATTGTTGAATAGCGGGCAAGTACTTGTATTATAACTGTTTAAACTAAAGATCTGGTTCGAATATGATGAGTGTTGCATTAAACAATCTACACAAAATTAATAGCCTGTAAGTAGGTCATGTGCATCTTAAAATTAAAAATTCTCTTTAAAATTAACATATCTAACAATACTATATATATGAATAAAATTATAAGTTTGTAAGTATTAAATATTTAAAATAATAAACATTTCAAAATAAAATTTGCTTTTTATTTGATAAATATTCATACGTGAACACAATTACTAGCCTGTAAGTATTAGAACCAATTTCTTCCAAAAGCCATTGTATAAATAATTACTTATGATTGCATGCCATATTATTAGAGCGTGAGTATTTAGAATAAAATTTTTATCATAAATACAAAAATATTTTTAATAAATTTATATTTGAACAAATTGGTAGCTCGTAAGTAATTGGAGTTTTGGAATTATGAGCATTTTAAGATAAACTCTGCAAACAACCAATTTTTTACATTTCACATTATTAGAAAGTAAGCTATAAAACTTTGATTGTGAAATTTTTTAAAGAAATAATACAATGCTAAATCGATACATATATAAAGTACTAGCCGGTAAGAATTAAGAACCGTAAATAGTTGAATGATTCTTCTGATCTAAAAAAAAATCTCTCAACACCCAATATGCATAATACTACTAGTTCGTAAGTAATCAGTAAATCAAAATTTTACATTCAAAACACAACATATAACACAAATATATCATCCAACATATTAGGTTGTAAGTATATTTTTAAAATCAAAATTCTTTTTAATTCCAAAAAAATAATAATACAAGTTTAAACAATATACATACGAATATAACTATTTTTTAGAAGGTGAGCATTTAGAACAATAATGATTACATTCATTTTAATTCATTAAATAACTAACTGATACAACATTATTAGAGAGTAAGTTTTAGAATTGTGAAACACTTATATTAAAATTTTCATTAT